CCATCTCAGTACTATAGAGGTTCCATGGCCAAAATGCCTCCACATCTGACACCTAACGCAGAAGTGAAGCTGTGTCCTTCTTCAAGATGTGTTTGTTCTAGAGAATATAGCAAGCGCCACTGCAAAGCATACATTGAGAACTGCCGCCCTTCTTCAGGGTGGGCCACTGAGGGTGGTTCAACAGGCAGGTATCTTGTCGGCAACATTGCTCTGTGTATATGGGCCTCTGCAGGGCCTGCTGAGAATCATGAGATGCAGCAAATGCTCTTCTTAGGTATGTAGAGGATGAGGTGAGACACCATGCAATATCAGGTGATATCAGATTTTTGAAGCTATAGGGCTCTTAACCATAAATATGATGTCAATTTAAAAACAAATTCTGAATGCTCCAAAGTGGTTTTTCTTCAGTTTGGAGTTAAAAAAATATGGAATATTTCTAGAATACATTTATGTTGTTACCTATTTTCAGAGATGCCCTCTCTCTTATCATTCCCATCATGAAGCAATTGTACAACTCAAGAAGAAAGTTCAAATAATAGGAAATTTTTTTTGAATTAACAAGTAATAAATTCATGTATTCTACTTATTTGTTCTCCCATCCCAAATTATGTTTCATTGAGACCCTGGCTTCTAATATATATTGCTGCAAGGATAAGCAGTTAAATAAAATTTGATGACTTCAGAAGAACTAAGGTTAAAAACAACAAATCATTGCTTCGTTCTATTTGGAAGAAATCCCTCTGTTAATTATTAAGGTTTAGATACATGTTTTAAAGAGATTAGACTAGAGGATTAAAAGAAATAATGCCTAGAAGAAATCCTGCCCCATTCTGATCCAAGAGGATAGGAAAAGAAAAGTGAAAAAGTACAGGATATCAACTTTTTAATCTTAGTTACTAAATAATAAAACTTTAATGTCTAAAACAGATGGTACAAGACCTAGAGACCTAGCACATTAGTTTGAATTGTTAAAATTTTAACCCACAGAAAATATGACTATGATGAAACGTATAACATATATTTATGATGAAACGTATAACACGTACTTACAGAGGAGATTGTAGAGAGTAGGTGAGTCAACAAATATTTAAGTTTGCAATAATGGGTCCTTATTAAGTACTGTTTGAAGTTCACAAATGTTTTTTGTTTAATAGAAATAATATCAAAGACTAATTACAACAGGAATTGTGGAAGACTCATTAAAAGGGTTAAGTTGACATTCTCAACTGCAAAAGAATTTTAAAATAATTTTAAACGTAAATACTTGTATAAATTAACTTTGAGTTGCTCTGTGAATTAATAATAATAATGTCTCAAATAACAATATCTAATGATGCATATATCTATCCAAATATGATTATGTATGAACATTGTACATATAAACATGCATATGTGTTTATTTGCTTATACAAACATATGCACTTCATTCAAATACTGAATTATTTGAATCTGTCTTTCAGAATTTTTATGGATTTGGAATTGTTATTAGGAACTTTATACCTAATACAGAGAATAACCTCTTCCACCTATGGTTAAGTCAGAAGAGCTTTTTAAAAATCTATATAAAACAAGACATAAAAATTAGAAGAAAAAAATAACACTTGGGCTATGGTGGTCATTCTATTACCTTTAGAATTTCCACAGATATGCAAACCATATATTTAGGAGTAGAAGTACTGTTTTGCTGTTTTTTAGTTTAAAGATTTATTTATTTATGCTTATAAGAACTGGGGTACAGGCCAGAGGTGCACGGGGGTGAGAGGATTCACCAGAGACAGAGTGGGGAACAGAACAGGTAGATTTACTGAAATACACTTCTGAGGGGAGCAGTGGGGGAGTCAGGAGAGGTCTGCCAGTGCCATGTGGGTAGCTCCCTAGCCAGAGGGGTTCAGTCAGGTAGGAGAATCAAACTTGTGCTGCAATGGCTGGCAACAACTTGATAGCACTGTCTTTAACCCCTGCGCCACCAGGGAGGCCCAGATAATCAAATATGCTTCTAAGACCTACTTAATGTTTAAGATTGGACTCTTGAGCGCCTCCCCAGTGATGCGGTGGATTGAGTGTTGCACTGTGAAGCTGTCCGCAGCCTCTTGTCTCACAAGAGTTTTTAAGTCCTGGGCCTCGCCGGTAGTGCAGCAGGTTGAGCACTGAGCTGTGAAGGTGTCCACAACCTCTGCATGGTGGTTCGATTCCCGGCCGGGCAGGGAGAAACCCATATGGCGTGGCAGACCTCTCCTGCCTCGCCCACTGCTCCCCTCAGCAGTGTTTTGGTCCATCTGCCTGTTCTGCTCCCCACTCTCTCTGGTGAATTCTCTCATCCTGGTGCCTCTGACTGGTACCCCAGTTCTTGTATAAATGAGTAAATCTTAAAAAAAAAAATTGGACTCTTGAGTCTTTTAATTTGCTTTCCCTATTGCAATCAGAAGAAATGCTATTACATTGCCAATTTATTTAACCATCCCTCAACTGTTCACAAACATTGGGTCCCAAGAAATCCCTGCATTCTAGAAGGATAATCAATTGGTTATAAACAATTATAACCGTATTTGCCAACAACTGAAGAGCAAGTTGAGGAAGGAAGAAGGAGTGATAAACCACTAACAATTTTGTGTTTGCTACTCAGCATACAAGTTCTCCTGTTTCTGACTAATAGCAGCTTCAAAACACTCAAAAAAATTCGTATACAGTGAAGGATGTGCTGATGCATATGTTTACATACATATTTCTTTTGGCAAAGGTGAACTGAGGAAAAGGGCTATAAATAAAATTAGCTTTTTAAAGGCATAGTTAAACATTAGATGCTATTATATAAATTCCCTGTCACTACCTTTTCACACTCAACAATGAAACAAAAACAAACAAAATACCACACACATTGATAAAGCTAGTAAGATCAAAAGTATTAGCCTGAAATGTTACTCTATTTCATTAGCATGCTGATTCTGGTACTTAACATCTCAAAGAAATACCTAAATGGCATAAGACAAATATCATGTTTATTGGTTCATATTTTTTAATGAAATCTAGAATATATCAGACTCATAAAATATGATTAAAATTAATAAATATGATAATGGGACAGGCTACAAAATTAATATATAAAAATATGTTGTGTTTCTATATGTAAATAAGGAACCACCAAAAAGAGAACTCAGAAAAACAATGCCATTTACAATTACTTCAAAAATAATTAAATACCTTGGAATAAATTTAATCAAAAAAGTAAGTGAAAGACCTGTACATTAAAATTATAAACATTGTTGCAAGAAATAGGAATAGGCACAAATATACTGGAAGATATTTCCTGTTCACGAATTGAAATAATCAATGTAATTTAAATGGTTATATTACTTAAAGCAATTTACTCAAAGATAGAACTAAGATTTATGAAATTTTTTGGAGCACAGAAGACATCAATTACCAAAATCACCCCTGAGGAGGAAAAAAAAAAAAGAGGTGTTATGCTGTCTGACATCAAAATATATTACAAAGAAATAATAATTAAAAATTTTTCTGTATTGGAATAAAAACAGATCTACAGACCAATGAGAAAGAATTGAGAGTCCAGAAATAAACACACTTATATGGATAACTAATTTAAAATAAATTGTCAACATATTACAACAGAGCAAAGAAAATTCCTTCAGTGATGATGATGGGAAAACTGGACAGTCCCATGCAAAAAATGAAAATGAAACCACTATTTAGTATAAAATACAATATTAATTCAAAATGGATTAAACACTTGGACGAAAAACCTGAAATCATAAAATACATAGAAGAAAATATAAGCAATATGCCCCTTACAAATGTGGAATGGAAAGGGGAACAAAAGCAAAAATGACCAAATGGGACTACATCAAACTAAAACAGTTTCTGTACATTAAAGAAATGTATTAAAATGAAAAGTTAGTCATGTCATATAGCAAATAAGAAGTAAATATACAAAATATACAAAGAACTAATGAAACACAGCCATAACAAAAAATTTCTCATTTAAAAATTGACAAAAGATCTGAATAGACACTTCTCCAAAGTATTCTTTGGAGAGATGGCCAATAGGCACACACACACAAAAATGTTTATCATCTTTTATTATTAGGGAAATGCAAATCAAAACAATTACATATTACCTCACACCTATGAGATGGCAATTATCTAAATGAAAAGGAAAAAAAAAAAGTGCTGTAGAGGAAGTAGAGAGAGGGGAACTTAAACACTGCTGGTGAGATTGTAAATTGGTGTAGTCATTATGGAAAGCAGTATGGGGATTTCTCATACAATTAAAAATAGAAATTCCATTATGTTGCCAATTGTTTTTGCTTTTTACCCCTAAAATACAAAACCACTAATTTGAAGAGATACATTACCCTCATGTTTATTGTAGCATTATTTATAATGGCAAAGTACTAGAAACAATCTAAGTGCAGATGAATCGATATGAAGATGAATCGATATGAAGATACTGGCAGATGAATCAATATGAAGATACAGTTTATATGAACAAGAGAGTACTATACAATTACAAAAAATGAAACCCTGTCACAACAGCTTTGATGGATCTATAGGGCATTATACTTAGAGAAACAAGTAAGAAGATAAGAAAAACAATCATCATATAATTCACTCATACATGGTATATAGAGAAAATGAACAGATGAATTAAATAAAGCAAAAAATGAACTTTTGGATTATAAGAATTAGTGGATACCGGAAGAGGAGGTTGGGAGACAGGTGGGTAAATTGGGACAAAGGGAACAACTGTACAGTGAAGAACAGAACTGGACTTCAGTGCAGTAATAGTAAAAAAAGAAATACTAAATATTTCTGCTGAAAAAATATAAATCACTGACAAATATATTTTATGATGTAAAGAATCCTTAATTACACACAAAATTAGTAGTCCATTACTTCATAAGTTTGGGAATTATCAATAAAATTCAAAGCACTAATTTGTTGCCAATTATATAATAAATCTGAGATATGAAATATTTCAGTACCTTAAATTCTGTTTTCCTTTCCTCTTTTTTCTTCATTTTCCAAATCTACAATAAAATAAATGTAAATAGAGCATTCTGGTTGGAAATGGACAAAATGGGATGACTGTAGATTACTATCCTTTTGGATCTTCTTTCTTCTCTACACATACTTGTTGGTTGTGAATGATAGAGAATAACTCTGAAAACAAATTTTTGAGCTAGTGATCTGGTTAAAATCCTTATCTTTTTATTCAAAGAAATTGAAGAGTAGAAAGATTAAATATCTTTCCTTCAGTCATAAATATTAGAGATTAGAAGAACTACAGTCAACTTATTAAAACATTGATTGCAATCATTTTCTGAAAACTTTTTACAGCGAAAGTCTGAAGCTAAAATGAGGCACTAGTAGTAATAACGGTCTGCTGAACAATAGAGTATAGATTTGTGATTTTTAAAACATTGAATATACTTTTAGCCTTCACCCTGAACTTAAATCAATTTAAATTTTGTAATAGGTGGAATACAGTTATCAACATTTTCCTCTTATCCTTTGCTTTTTAATATGACTGCACATAACGGTTTAAAACTACAGTCACTCATCCATATTCATGTGACCTCCAGAGCTTTAGTAGAAACAAGGCAGAAATGAAACAACTGGCTTGAATTACTAACATCCATCAATATGAGGAAAATTAATCTGGAGACAATTGGAAAGATGATATTGAATGCATATTCTATCTTATGTAAGTTAACTAATTGCTGTATTAACTTGAACCTGATTTCAGTTATCTTGATAATTTAAAAAAATCTATAAGGAAAACACTGACCAAACTGACACTAACTTATTGTATTAAATTCAACAAGTGTCATTTTTGTTTTTTTAGTTATATTTTATATCAACAATATGAATTTTTTACAGATTTATTTATTCTATCTATCTATCTATCTATCTATCTATCTATCTATCTATCTATCTATCTATCTATCTATCTATCCATCCATCCATCCATCCATCCATCCAAGAACCGGGTACAGGCCAGATGCACGGGAGGGTGCGAGGATTCACCAGAGAAAGAGTGGGGAACAGAACAGGCAGACTGGCGAAATACACTGCTGAGGGGAGCAGCCGGTGAGACGAGAGGTCTGCTGCGCCATGTGGGACCCTTGCCGGCCAGTGGGGATTTAACCGGAGCTGCAGAGGCTGTGGACAGCTTCATAGCGTGGCGCTCAACCGCCTGCGCCACCAGGGGAGGCCCAACAATATGAATTTTAATTCACTTTTAAAGCACAAAATATATATTACTTAAAAAGTGATTGTAACTATATAGCATTTTTTTTATTCCATAAACATTCAATTGTCCAAAAAGATGTAAAGATGAATCAATCGCTTAGTATGTGTTCAGTCCCACCCTAGGAAAAAAAAAAGAATCTGTAGGAAAATAACTGTGACTAGAGAGAATGTGAGAAATGACTTAAAGAAACGATGAATTAAACCTATGAAGACTCAAGGATGGAAATCATTATATTTGACTTTGGAATTAGGGAAGATATTATGAAGAAGAAAACATTGTGTCAAAATTTGAGAGAGAAATACTGAATTGGGAAATGCCATTTCATTGTAATTGTGAAAGGCTATTTCATTGTAATTGTGTCAGGAGTTCTAAGGTCAATGTAGTGGCTGAAATAAAATTCATGGGTTCTAGTATGTTTTTTTTCTCCTCTTATTTATATAAAAGTGAACAATTAACGAACTGGAAGGAAGTAAAGAGTAACCTAGTCTAATCGCTTTTTTATATATATTTTTTATTTTTTTTACATCATTGTTCATTTTTAAACAATATTTGCTTCCCCCCATCCCCTCAGGTGTAGTACCCATAGAGTTTCCATCACCAATGCACCCATGCACCATCACCTCAGTCTTCTGTGCTCCTCCCTCCCTCCCACCCTCCCTCTGATCCCTCTCCCTCCTCCTCCCCCACAGTATATCTCTGATTTATAATTGTCCATTTTTGTTTTGTTGTGTTTTGTACTGTTATTATTGTACTGTATTTTTTTTAACACCGATATTTTGTTTCCCCTATATTCCTGTTATAATTGAAAGCATCTGATATTTTTCTTTTTTCTTCTGGCTTATTTCACTGAGCATAATTCCTTTTAGTTCCATCCACGTGCTGTGAATGGCATGAGTTTATTTTATTTTTTTTAAAGATTTATTTATTTATACAAGAACCCAGTACAGGGCAGATGTGTGGGAGGGTAAGAGGATTCACCAGAGACAGACCGGGGAACAGAACAGGCAGACTGATGAAATACACTGCTGAGGGGAGCAGCGGGCAAGACAGGAGAGGTCTGCCGTACCATGTGGGATCCTCACCGGCAGGCCAGGATAGAACCTGCACTGCAGAGGCTGTGGACAGCTTCACAGTACAGAACTCAACCGCCTGTGCCACTAGGGAGGCCCAAGTTTATCTTTTTTGATTGCTGAGTAATATTCCATTGTGTACATTTATCACATTTCTTGGTCCAGTCATCTATTTTTGGGCATTTGGTTTGTTTCCAGATTTTTCCTATTGTAAATAGTGCTGCAATAAACATAGGTATACAGGTGTTCTTTTGAATCAATATTTTTGTGTCCTTTGGGTAGATCCCTAGTATTGGAACTGCCAGGTTGTATGGTAGCTCCATTTTTAGTAGACTGAGGAACCTCCAGACAGATTTCCATAGTGGCTGGACCAGTTTGCACTCCCACCGGCAATGTACCAGAGTTCCTTTTTCACCACATCCTCACCAACATTTGTTGTTGCTTGTATTTTTGATATGTGCATTCTTACTGTTGTAAGGTGGTATCTCAATGTGGTTTTAATTTGCATTTCCCTGATTAAAAGGGATGTTGAACATTTTTTCATATACCTGTTGGCCATTTGCATTTCCTCTTTGGAGAAATGCCTTTTAAGTTCTTCTGCCCATTTCTTGACTGGATTGTTTATTTTGCTTTTGTTGAGTCATGTGAGTTCTTTGTATATCTTTGTGATCACTTTTTTTTTTTTTTTAAGATTTATTTATACAAGCACTGGGTATAGTCAGAAGTGCGGGAGGGTGAGAGAATTCACCAGAGCCAGAGCGGGGAACAGAACAGGTAGGCTGACGAAGATATACATTGCTGAGGGGAGCAGCGGGCATGGCAGGAGAGGTCTGTGTGCCATGTTTGTGATCACTTTTTAATACAGGTGAGCAGATTGAATTTCAAAATGTTCAAGTGATTTTTCCAAGGTTATGTAGCTGATTAAAGTCAGAGACAAATTTGGAAGGAAGGTTAAATGAGCTTCAAATGCTCATGTTTTTAGGATTTGTAGAAATTATACCTTTTTTTTTCTTTTCTTTTTGCATCTTCTCTGCTCAAAACCTTTTTTGCCTTAAATCTATTAATTTCAATTTTGATAATATTTTCCCAGGGAAATCTGAAAATAATCTTCCTCTCCTCACTCTCTCCTAGTTGAAGGACTTCCTCTCATTTGTTGCTTTTGCATCCAGTACTGAACTCTATCAGTTTAATTAATGCTGAATCTTCTTGATCACTATCATTCTTTAGACTCTAAATTCTTGGTGACTGAACCTAACCATTTTTGTCACGTCAGAAAAATATTTAATGCACCATAGATAGTGAATCAACATTACTATGCATGCAAAATTAGAAAATTACATGATTTACATAGCTCTTTCAATGTCTGTAGTGCACAAATTTTTAATCACATGAACTGGATTATTTCCAATCTAAGAACAGTTATATCTCTGATGACAGGATCAACAAGTGCTACATAATTCAGATCAGACATAACACTTCTGGGGTTTTTTTGGATTTTTTTTTAGATTTATTCATGTATGCATACAAGAAATGGGGTACAGGCCAGAGATGCAGGGAGTAAGAGGATTCACCAGAAAGAGAGTGGGGAGCAGAACAGGCAGACTAACTGAAATACACGCTGTGGGGAGCAGCAGGTGAGTCAGGAGAGGTCTGCTGCACCATGTGGCTGCACACAGCTTCATAGGTTGTCTTAACCCCTTGTGCCACCAGGGAGGCCCTGTACACATTTTTTATTGGGTTCTTGTTTCTCTTTTTGTTAAGTTGTATGAGATCTTTGTAGATCTTGATAGTAACGCTTTGCCATATATTTCTTTCCTCTACTTTAGAGTTCCATTGTAACTTTGGTGAGGATTTCACTGAATCTATATATTGCTTTGCACACATTGGACATTTAATTAATTACCTATTATTCCAATCTGTGAGCATGGACTATCTTTCCATTCCTTGTGCTGTCTTTTTTTATATTTTAACAATTTCGTACAGTTTTCATGATACAGTTCACCTCTTCTATTAAGTTTACTCCTAGGTATTCACTAATTTTTGATGATACTACAAATGGCAGTGTTTCTTGATTTTTTTCTCCTCTAGTTCATTATTTGCATATAGGAATGCATCAGATTTTTGCATATTGGACTTTCAACCTACTACTTTTACTGATTTATTATTTCTAATAGTTTTCAATAGTGCCTTTAGGGTTTTCTATGTATAATATTATGCCATATGCAAATATTGATAGTTTTACTTCTTTTTCAATTGGATTCCTTATTTATGTTTCTCTTGTCTAATTTATTTAGCTAGGACATGCAATACAATGTTGAACAGTAGTGGTTGGGTGTACATAATTTACCCTGTACCAGATCTTACAGGTAAAGCTTTTAGTTTCTCACCACTTAGTATGTTAGCTGTGAGTCTGGCATATATGGCCTCTAATATGTTGAGGTATACTCCTTCTCTCCCCATTTTTAAGAATTTTTATCATAAGTGGATGCTTAATCCTGTCAAAAACCTTCTATGCATCTCTTGATAAAAATCATATGATTTTTGTCTTTGCTTTTGCTGCTATGATGAATTAAATTGGTTATTTACATAAGTTGAATGATCCTTGCATCACCAGAATACATTCTGCTAAATAAATAAATCATTACATTATCAGAATAAAATCATGATGTATGATTCTTTTACTGTATTGTTAAATTTATTTTGA